GATATTTAAACTATTTTATCAGAATTTTTTTTATTTTAATTTCTTTCTTATTTGAATTTAAAATATGACTACTAAAAATTTGCACGAAGAAGCTGATCATTTAAAAAATTTATCTTATATTGCTAACACTGAAAAAAATACAGCTAAATGGCTCCATCATGTTGATAAATATCGTCAAGAAAATAATATTAATAAGTTAATTAATCAAATTGACAACAAAGAAGAACTTGATGAATTTTTAAGTTTGTTTATCACATGGCTTACAAAAATTAATAGCAAACTATTTAAAGTTGAATCTATTCACAACTGTTATGCTGCATTGGCACGTTACTTGCGTGAAAATTCTTCTATTCTGGGTAATGTTAACATTTGAGATAAATATACATTTTCAAGAGCAATTCGAGTATTAGATGGCAAAATAAGATTGTTACAGGATAAAGGTTACAGGGATACAGAGAAAAGTGATTCGCTAACACCTGATAAAATAATTTCTTGCTTGAATCATGAGTATTTATCAATAAATAATAATGAAGATCTACTTCGCCGAGTTTTTTTTTGGCTTTTATTATTATGTAGGTTATGAGGAGGTGACATATATAAATTACAATTTCGGGATATTGAAAAGCGAGTTGATAGTGGATTGCAATTGCGATTGCAGAAGGAAAAGAACAATCAAGGTGGTGTATTCTACCGACAACGATATAGTCATACCAACACTCGATCTATTCCGATTTCAGCAAACAATCTTACAAATCAATTTACACCTATAAAAGATATATTACTTTATTTATCAAAATGTCCTTCTGAATGTAAACCAACTGATGCACTATTTTTAGAATGCATTAAAAAACAATCAGGTATATAATTTAATAATTATGTACGTATATACTAACATATGGTATTTATTTACTTTTATTATTGTTATATATATTATAATAGAATTAAAAAAAAGATTGATGTACAAGCCATCCAAAATGGGAGAAAAAAAACTTAAAAAAATGTTAAACAAAATTGCAGTTAATACCGGTA